GTGGACCATGAGATTGATTTTTCATTTATGATATTTGAAAAATTTATGGATTGTATGATATTTATAATGTTTATTCTTTATTATTTGTGTAGATCATTGAGTGTAGTGGTGATTTAAGTGTTGAATTTGCCAAAAAATAATTTAGTCTTGGCCAAAATGACGATTCCGATGAGAGCAGTCATTCGGGTCACTTAAGAGTCACTAATCGGGTGGGCTCAGGGATTGTTTAGGCCGATTAACAGTCCGTCCAAATATTTTTTTTTTCCAAATTTATAAATTAAGAAATTTTAATTCTTTTAATAAATTAAATAAAGAAATTTAAATTGAAAATTACCAAATTACCAAATTCTTTTTTTTTTTTTGTTTTTTTAAAAAAATTTTAAATTATTTTTAAACAAATCTATAATTTTTTTCAATTTTACTTAAATAATATTTATATTATTTATTTATTATAATTTCCTTTTGTTTAATTTGTTTTTGCTTTTATTATAATCTTTTTAGTAATATTAAAAAACTCCTTAATTGGTTTCTTCTTATAAAAATTTTAATTAATTTTTTTAATTGAAAATACTTTATAATATTCTTGCTTTATTTTTTATATTTTAATTTAATTGTTTTGTTCTTTTTGGTCATTAATTTGCATTTAATTTACTTTATTATTATTATTATTTTGTTTGTAAATTTCTTAATTATTTTTTGTTTATCATAATTTATTTTTCTTTTTCAATTTGAAATGATTTTTATATTATTTCTTTAATTTTTATATTTTTATTTTTGTCTGTAATTCTTTTTCTATTTTTGTTCTTCTCCTTTAATTTATTTGTTGTTTTATTAGCGTCGGTGTAATTAGAATCTATTTCTTGCGTTAGTAGTTACAATTCGATTCACTTAATTTTTTCAGATTATGCTTTATTCCATTATCTTCTGTTAAAAGTTTTAATATTTGAATTTTTATAGGATGGAGTACATCTAGATTCGGAATTGAGACAAACAGCGGGAAAATGTACTTGGAATAGCAGCTTAGATAGTCACACTACCGTGTTGGAGTTGTTGGATGATTAGTACGGAGATATGCTACGCTAGTCCTTCCTGTGACCCCTTTATAAGTTGTGAGAGGTGCAGTACTCCCGGCAGATCATTGATGCATTATTGTGTCGGCTGTTTAGACTAGTTGACGATGATACCATCCACTTCGACCTCTGGGGTAAGATCACTACTTTATCTATGTTTGAGTTTGCTCTAATGACTGGACTGAAGATTACGGGCGATGAAGCAACTACTGATGGTTCTCAAAGAAGCAAGGGGAAACGGTGCTTCAACTCAATTGATTTGCGCAATCAGGGAGTGCGACCATATTTTTTCGACATATTGAAGCTAAGATTGCTCTATATCCTTGATAACGTGGTGAGGTGCCATCACAAAAAGATTGCATCGACCTTTTCCATTTTGAAGTTGTTGACGACATCGACGCTTTCAAAAACTATTTGTTGGGACGGAGATGTTTTGAAGACACCGTACACATCTTCACCATCTCACATTCGAAGCCCAATGATGCTTGTGTAATTACGATACTTATAGATTGTCCCGATAGTGCAGGTAAATGTTCAACATAATCAATGTAAAAATATTTTTTATTCTAAATTTATATATAATAATTGTATGTATTGCAGATATGGGCATATGAGATTGTCCCCCTTTTTATACTCGATTTGCAAGGCAATGGGGGATATGTTGTCCTAGAATGCATCATTGGCGAACATCCCGAGTAGACTGTTATCCATTTGGTAGGCAATTATCAGCTCTTATCGACGACCTTCAGATGAGTATTATACATTTGCGATTTATATTGTATGTCGTTTCAAAATATCAACACATGATCATTAACTGTTAAAATGTCAATATGTCAGCTTGAAATCCTAAATGAGTTCACGTCATCGATGGAGGAGGGGGTCGAGGTTTGTATTTGAATCAGCAATTTCGCATATATCAAAACAATCAGATGTTCGATTCCATCCTGGATCGAGATTTGGTATGTGAATTGAATATAATTTTTTTTATTACCGTTTTGTATGAGTCGTCTTATTTTGATTAAGTTGATAATTTTTAAAGTTGTTACTTGTGTAAGAGCGAGGTCCACTTGATCGACGATCACCTCTGTCTATGGGATTACCTCTGCTAATGGGATCAGCTCCGTTAATGAGATCTCTTTCTCCTCTATCCATACACCTCTCTCATGGATCTCCTGCACATGGTTATAGCCATTATTTTAATGATCCGTATATCCGCCTGACTGGATTTATGGTAGAGGTGGTGAGTGTATTACGACAAAAGTTGAGATGAGAGATTGGTGCGCTACTAGAGAAGTTAGAGACGCTATGACGAGAGTTGATAGACGAGGTATTAGATTTATGCTATGATATTACAGCGCTACAAGGCCATGTAGTAGACCTTTAGGATGAGATTACAGTACTCCGAGACGATATAGCAGACGGACGAGGTGGACAGAGATTGGGGTCATACACCATTGTGGGCAGATGATGATGTATTAGAATCATTTTTATTATCTGTGGAGTGGGAGGGGATGGCTTTTATAGGGACAGGAGAGGTGGCGGATGAGGAGATGACGAAGCGGGTAGCCTCAATGATGGAGAAGGTGGCTAACCTCGGAGCGGAGGGCATGACTAATGAGGAGAAGACGTCCGTCGTGACAGAGGGTAAGAAGCGTACTGTTGACGTGTAGGAGTAGGTGATCGGCAAGAGGCCTAGATTGTTGTCATGGTCTGTTGTTTCTCCCTTAACATTTTTTCTATTCTTTTTTTCAAAGCTTGCCACGTGATAGCTCAAAGAACGATCTCATACGCTTATAAGTAATTTCATGACATCATGATTTCAGGAGTTTGGTTCGTCGACGATGGCAGTGTAATATTGAAATTATTATTTATTGTACATACATAATTTTTTATTTATTAAATGAAATAACATCCTTTTTTTTTATTAATGTTTCCTGATGTAACACATCAACCTGGCTATTGACTTGTTGCGAGATCAGACTCAAAAATATTCGAGATCATTTGACATTTCTTGTCGAGTTATATTGAGTACCGAGTTCCTACGTGTCGTTGTCATTGAGTATCAATCGCTTCAACTTATAGGTAATTATTAAACAGTGCTCGAATATATGCTTGATTGGGTCATAGGGATGTGGTTGAGTGTCGAAGGAAAGTCATGGGAGAGTTGTATGTATATGTACGTTTCAGTGATCACGAATCATCATTGCTTTGCATGGATGGTCTTTGTTGATTCAACTATATATGTGTACTACTTCGATCATTTCTGTCTAACACAAGGTTAGCTCGACCTTAACCTGGAGCTTGTGGCTGTGATTGTTTCTTTGATAACTAGACGAGCGGGGTGATTGTGCAGGATAGACTAACCATCGCCTGGGACATGGCGATGGCGAAACAGTCAATATCGTATGTATTTACATTTTTTTTTAATTTGAAAACTTGGTTTTTAGCTACACGGCACCAAACTAACTCATTATTATTCAATTGAATGAGCAATTGTAGCATATTCGCAATAAAATATTATCCATTTAACAACGATACCATTACACATCCATCTAATTGTCATTTAGGAAAATTTGATTTATACAAAATTAGCGAGTATACCTTGTTGCTTTGCACCTACTACACCTATGCGGACGAGGAAATGTTTTGGTAGATGATATTCTAGACGTATATAAACGTTTAGGATTACGTGGTTCAACTTCAGGTGGTAATAAACTATTAAGTTAGAGAATATGGTCAGGAACTTATCACTTAGGTTCATTTGGTAGAAGAAATACAGTCTCAACATACAATACTCTCCAATAATGAAGCGTGTAATAAGAAGAGTATAAGGTCTTGCTGCCAAGCCTTTATACATAGCCAATGAAGCTGCGTGCTCACATGAAAAACTCTCCAATTGAAATCGACTACTAGTGTATGTGTTATCAATCAAGTCCACCATGTATGCGATATTACATGCACATCTAACAGAGAGTCGCAACTCATTTAGTGGTTCTACATTCAACTTCCTCGCAACCTCTACAGTCTTGAAGAGTTTATCCTCTTAAGCCGGTGCTAACACACTCAAATAATTTAATGATTCCGCACGTCGATCATGGCTACTGCTACAGCTTGTTACAAATGTTCTCAATTATTGCAAGGACTGGTAACTCTCGATCCTTTTTGAATAATGCATTAAGAAATTCTGTATTTTTTGACGTTATCATATTGTATCGACGTCTTGAAAAATATGAGCGCGCCCAATGTTCAATCATCGTTTTTTTAGATATTCCAATGTCTGGAATGATTTACTTCTTATTTCAACCAAGAACTTATTACACTCTTCAATACTGTAAGTTTCGGCCACTCTCCTAAACAATGAAACGATGCCTTTATCCCGATACATAGTCTTTGAGTTGCCTTGTATATGGTAAATCTGTTAAAAAATTATCTATATATTAATTTATGTCGAAATAAGATTTATCTATTAAAAACGCATACTAATTTAATGAAATCGAAATTAAATATACGTAAATATACTTATCATTCAAAGTTATTGATATAAAAAAAATATTTTCTTGTTTAGCGTTTGATAAATTTATGAGATTTTGAGGTCGAAGTAGGTAAAAAATGATAGGGTTTCTATCAGTATTGAAATAAGCAAATAAGAAAATGATCAGAAATGATCTAATGAGCACCGGTGCTCATTAGATCATTTCTGAGAAAATGATTGTGTTTTAAACAAAATAATATTTTATAATTGTATAAGCTATTTACCGCGTATCTTTGTTTTTAACCTACAATTGTTGACCAACCCATTTTTATATTTTTTCTCCAATTTATTAGATCCTTCTTGCTTTGTTTCTTGTAAAGTTTCAATCACTAAATATCTGCACAATACTCGATTAGTTGAATTATAGGGTTTGCTTTTCAAGGAAAAAATCAAATCAAATGGCCGCTCCACCCGCTAGAGCTCGAGCCGATTACGATTATCTTATTAAACTCCTGTTGATCGGCGATAGCGGTATGTATTTTGGGAATATAAACACTCATACACACTTGTTCGGATGAATAGGTTTTGAATAATTTATTATCAGATTCGAAATTTGTTTATGTTTTATTTTTTTCATAATTGTGAAATGATTTTGCTGCTGCTTCTAATTTTACGTAAAATGCTCACGTTGTTATGGAAGTGGATGTGCTTTTTGTTTATGGAAATAAAATGGTCAAATTGTATTTTCATTTTTTGTGTGTGATACAGATTTTGTGTGGGGGGAATGCATTTGTATTGTCAATTGTGGGCGTGCTTTTAATGAAAAGGCATGTTTGGTTGGCTAATTAGCATAGTCTTGCAAATTTTTTTTTGGCGAGGTTAAATTTGTCAAAAGCACGTGTTTGCTTATGATTCCATGTGTTTAGTTACTTGAAATTTTGTTTTGAGATTATTTTTCATTTTAGACATTTTGCCGATTCAGTAGCTTTTTGATCTGCAAATAAGTGCAAATACTAGCAACTTTAAAGGATTTGAGCTAAGAAACAGAAATGAGCTATGAGAAATTTATTGTAATACAAGGATAAGATACTGATGGAGCAGCAGTGCATGCTAATAAGTGTTTTAGAGAAAGCTGATTAAAATTACCGAAAGGTTAATGATTGAAATCTTCATATCAGTCAAGCTGGAATCTGACCAAATATTTAAACTACTTGATCAGGCTTGAGAAATATTAATATATTATGACCTGGTCGATGTTGCATGTCTCTTAGGTTACCTTTTTTAACCCATAAATGTTGGAAAGTAGTGATCTTGATCACTAGTATGGTCAGTGATTTTTCACAGCTATTGAAAAGTGTTGGTTCAATTCTGTGAAAACTTTCTAGACTGAATGAATGATGATTTACTCCTCATTTTGATCTTCTTTTCCTAGTCTAGTTCAATCTGTTTATGGTAGTTTATTTCATAGAGTTTGCAGGTTTGAAATTTGGATTATCAAGAATCTTCACGTATTGTTATGTCACATTGTAACACTATATTTTCAGGTGTGGGTAAGAGTTGCCTTCTTTTACGTTTCTCTGATGGTTCTTTCACCACCAGTTTCATTACCACCATCGGGTATGTCTATTTGAAATAAAAAATGTAATATTTCGGTATGGCTTCAGAACATTCTTGTGCTAGCCTCCTTAGATTTGAATTTATTGCACAGCATTGATTTCAAGATAAGGACCATAGAGCTGGATGGTAAACGGATCAAACTGCAAATTTGGGATACTGCTGGGCAAGAGCGATTCAGAACTATCACGACTGGTATGCGCATGACCATGGACAAGTATCCTATCCCCCTTCTCTGGACATGAGCTAAGAGAATTCACTACTCTGTTGCACATTTTCATTTTTCAAATGGTGCATGAATATTCTCTATAGCTGCATCGATATGCTTGAGATGGATTGATTTCATAGAAATTTGACGGCATGAGGTACCTATATTGATTAAGTACATCCACCCAAAATAAAAAAAATCCCATATCACTTAAGAATTCAACTTCTGGATGTTGATAGAAATGGAATTCTATACTTGTGTATCAGGAAAACATAACTCATTTCTCATTGACATTGACATTGCATTGCAATTTGTTAATTGTCTTTCAGTTTTCTATTTAAATTTGAAGCACATTTTCTTCAGAATGTTATATATATATATATATATATGTATATAAACATAAATTTGCATTCTAAGAAGAAATTCTCATTAAAACTAGCTGCAAGAGAATATCTCAAAACTATTAGATGAAGTTGGATCAAAGAGGAAACTCTGATAAGTGGAGGTTTGACTTGAAATAAACCATGTCAAAAGAACAATACTAAATTTGATGTAGTGTTTTATGCTTGCTATTTGGTCAAGATCTCTTTCTGTAGGACAATGAACTGAGCTGTGAAAGGGCACAGGATTAGAAAAGGGTAATGAAGGCTATTACTGTAGCTTTTCAAATTTGTTAAATAGTTCCAAGGTCTGCAGAAATTTTAAATACCTGTTTATCTTTTTATTCTGAAGCAGGGAGTAAATTAATTCTATGGTAGAATTTCTCTCTTCCAAGAGCTTATTTCAACTGAGTTTTCCGAATATCAACGGGTGTGTTTCTACATTTAGTCATGGAAGGAAGGATAAGAGGAATATAAGTAAGATTGTATATCATATGGGGAATTTGCAATTGGCCAATACATAAAATTTTAAAAATACATGGTTCCTTTTGCCTTTGGTTAAGGTTTTTATCGTCATTTAATTTTTCTCATATGGTGCTTGTAACCGTTTAGATTATCTAAAACATAATTTTTCTTTCTTGAAATTTCCAAGACATTTATTTAAATAGAACTATTTTGTGCAGCTTACTACCGTGGAGCAATGGGTATATTGCTGGTGTATGATGTGACTGATGAGTCATCTTTTAACAGTAATTACTCTGCCTTCTCATCATCTTATATTTTTGGGTATCAGATATCTTTGTTGTCATTGCGCAGAATAGATCTTTTCCATTCTTTGGCTTTTGAATTCTCGTGGTGTTGTGC